ATTTCAAGCAAAACGTAGAAACTCAGGCATTATGTGTGTATCAGCAACTGAATAAAGTGAAAAGTGTTTAATTGTTTGTTTATGAAACTTCTGATTCAGTCAAAACTTGTCCAATGATAAACAGTTAATTAATGTTCGAAGTCCTTAGCGCTTGTTGTACTGTGACATGACGCTGGCTTGGAGGTAGTCAACAAGAGCACAATTCTGTTGCTCGTTGAAAGACGCCTTCAGTATTGAAAATACTCTTTCTGTCGTCGCAGACGATGGTTGGACAAGGAGAACTTACTTCACTGCGAAAGCCCAACGAGGAAGTTGCTCCTCGTGTCCACACCACCATTCGATTTTCTTCTCTTCAGACGGGATAATAACATCTTCAGCGGCAGCCAAATAGGCAAGAAGCTCGGCTTTGAGACCGTCGATGGTAATATCACTATCCAGGAAAGGAAATGCTCTCAGAGACTCTACTAATGTATTTGTAGGCTTAAGCCACTGGACCCTAACGGGGCAGAATAGTCTGGCAGCCTTGAATGCTACCACTGCGTCATAAAGATCGACATTGAACTTCCTCAGAAACCACGTAATTGCAGGCTCAACACAAGCCTTCGCACTCTGTTCAAGTGCTGTTACGTTCTGACATGGGTCTTCCTCCGTAATTGCAGTTGCAATTGCACGAACGTTAGGGAAACAGGGAGCTTGACAAAATTGGGAAAAGGCGCTTAGTTTCTCGTAACAGGCAAAAACCAAAGGACCATCTCTTCCAAAAAGTACGTGGCTTTCACAAAATGTTCGCCAACATCAATAGTAGCGGCAAGCCCAAGCTTCAAGTTCATTTGTCGCTGTGGGTCAGAAAGTGTTGCTTGAAGCTGTGGTAATAGCTGTGGGCAAACTTTTACGCCCTTTGCCTCTCCTACGAACCTTGCGACATCTCCAAACTGCACCATCAACTGATGATACACCTCCCATTTGGACCACCATCTAGTCTCGCTGTATGATCTTAGTGTTTGACCCGTTAGATCCTTCCATTATAGCTTGGCTTTACAACTATGGCAAAACATTCTAATCCAAAGGCTTCTAAACTCTACCGCTGTTAGGATCACTAAATGGTTTCCCGCGTTATCAAGTGTATGAGAGAAGCACAAGGTCCCTTGTCATGCCAACTTGATCAGGCATTTCCAATTCTTGCTTAATCAGTTCAATTTCCTGTTTCAAAGCCATGGAAACATACTGTCCTAGATGAGAGCTTCCAGTGAGTCGATAGCTGTTCTTCTCCAACATAGACCGTAGCATGTCTATTTTACCGATCGGGATACCCGCCTTCAAAAACTCACCATCAACTTCGAGTCTGTAGGCACATTCTTCCACAGGCAACGTGCCATCTTTGGAACTTCCTTAATTCTCTTCTGAATACCTCAATTATGGTCTGGTCTTTCAATTTCGACTTTTTCAACTTCTCTTTACCGTTTTGATGCTTCTAGGACGAAAAATGGATTTTCGGAACACTTTTCTTGGAGGAAATGATTTCTCTACATCCACTGAAAAACAACTTTCCTTGTCTGACAATCAAATGCTCGCCTGGGAACTGCTTAACTCGCTCATATAACGGGACATTCGTTGTATCGCTGTTTCCTCTCCGCTTGTAATTTCCATTGGTTGATTCTAAAGATCGATCTCGAGCTATCTTTGAAGGGACTAGTCTATGTTCTCCTCCAGAATTTCCTTCTATGAGCTGCAAGTATCGCGAAGATGGCGTGGCTCTGGCTGACGCCATCTTGTTTGTACATGCGCGTGAACGGCCTCTGAAGGTTAACTACTGACCAGCTGCATTCATACAGTTACAGAAATCTTTCTCTAAAACACAAAAGCAAATCATCACAATGTTTTTGAACTCTAAAATTTAGCATTTAAACTCTTTTGAGGGCTGAAATAATGTGAAATAATGTTGTTTTGCAACCTAAGACTAATATTCAAACCTTACTGTACAGGAATCAGCTTTGAAATAAATATGTTTAAATTCGGGATCCATTCAGCACCATATTCATTAAGGCCATTCAGCAGTCTTTCTGACCTATCTTACCACTTTTTAGTCAAACGCTGGTAACTTTTTTATACCATCGATGTCATCTGATTCTGCTAAATTATATCTTTACCAAACGGTTTACAAACAATACGACCGTGGGTAACCGTTAAGTTAATTTCTATGTGCTTAGCTATAGTTCGAGGGAGCTGGAAGGAGCTGGAAGGAGCTGGAAGGAGCTGGAAGGAGCTGGAAGGAGCTGGAAGGAGCTGGAAGGAGCTGGAAGGAGCTGGAAGGAGCTGGAAGGAGCTGGAAGGAGCTCGAAGGAGCTGGAAGGAGCTGGAAAGAGCTCGAAGGAGCTCGAAGGAGCTCGAAGGAGCTCGAAGGAGCTCGAAGGAGCTCGAAGGAGCTCGAAGGAGCTCGAAGGAGCTCGAAGGAGCTCGAAGGAGCTCGAAGGAGCTCGAAGGAGCTCGAAGGAGTTGTATCTTGCTCTATATGCGAACGAATGAGTTTACTTCTTCTTTATTTTAAGTATTCGGAAGGAATTCATTCCTTTTAGTCTGTAAGTTCGAATAGAAAATCGCCCTTTTATTGTTTGGGAATTATACTCACAAAGGCAATATATGAATGAATTGGCATTGTTACATGACTTAGATGCAGTCTTTCAGGCTTTATTCTTACTTCTGCGCATGCTTGAGCAAAGTTCAGTACCGCAATGATCACTCTCATGCATCTTCACGACTTGGAGTGAAACTGCTTTCTACCTCGGAGAGTTAGAACGCATCAATAAAAAAATACTATTGTCTTGAATGACTCTATGTTTACTTGTGCACAGGTGTATTGTCAAGAGCGTTGGAGAAAAGAGCTTCAGGTAAGAAAAACCTTCGGTGATACAAATAGTGCAAGTGTTCTGAGTACTTTGCCAAAAAGGTCGAACAGTCGAATTGGCTTTGGCGCAATGTGTCATCGGGGCCAAAATTAGACCTCAGCACTAGAAGAAAAGTGAAAAAAAAAAAAAAAGTTTGGGACCCGTTAAAAGGAAAATCGTCACTGTTTGTCTATCATGAAGAATTCAACCTTAATTTTTTTCATGTTCGGCAATTTACATTATCGTGTCCTTCTTCAGTCTTTCTCTTCTTTAAGGTGCACGATTATTTACAGAAGGTTTATTGCTGGGACAATAAAAGTTCTTCAAAATTACGTGACGTAGCTCTTTACATGTGTGGACATATGATTAAAACCGCATTATTTACCGTCAAAAAAGATGAAGGCGGCCTCATTGTTAATCTCAAATACAAACATGATTGACTTTCAAAGAATTTCCTTACATCGCCTTCCGTTCGCAAAGTATCCGTCAGATGTAAGTGACAGATTATGACTACCCACGGGAGCTTTCCCGGTGAGTTAATAATAAAAAAATTAACATTTGATGTGCATGGCAACATAACAATCACTGAGATGTGAAACAGCAAGATGGCGCTGAAGAGTTTATTAATTTCCATACGATTCATGGTCTTCAAAGGTTTATTGCTATTTACCCGACTAGGAATTCGAAGAACAGATATCATCAATTTATGAAAATACATTATGTTGCTTTATAAAAATCTGAGCCAATGTGGTGCAACACGTTAGTCTCACTATAACTGACTTTCCTCTCTTCTAAGTCCAAATTAGTTAAACACAATTGCTGCAAAATCAAAAACTTCGAAATAGCATAACAATTCTTTTAATCCATATGGCTGTTGCTAGAACAATACGTTGCTCATTTTCCTAATTCAAATACGACTTTGCTAAATGAGTTCTTCAAGCAGGTGGAATAATTTGATTCATCTTTCTAAACCCAATGTCAAAGTCACGCATTAAGAATCAATCTAATGAACAACAGAATTACTGAACGTCCGTCGCAAACGTTTACAACATACCGAACCCTCGCTTAGAGTTACAGAACGACTGTTCAGCTCTCCGTTATTGCTGTGTTCGCCACATATCACCTCTTGGTAAGTAACCATGAGATGCGTAACTTTACCAATTACGAAATCTATTTATTATTATTGATTTTTAAGAGCAAAGTCGGATAGCTTGTTTTGTCTTGGAACTACCTCACTTCCCCTTTCCCTTATTAAGAAAAACTCTGCCGCATTTCAAGTATGTTGCAATACGAAGAAAATATGTTTTTGAAATTGTATTTTACGACCTTTCTTCGTATACTAGATTTTAAGAGATAACACCTCTACCCTAAGTTTTTATATCACACAGATTGTAGTTATTACAAATGGGTAGTATGTTGGTGCAACTTAAAATCTCTCGGCAAACTGCGCATTTTCTTAATTCTTTAGTAAAAACCTCGTTCCACATCTGTATTAAAAAATAAAGAACTAAGAGAGAGTTTCCACGATATCAGTCATACTACGATTTGAATTGATTTGAGAAGAGACATTTCAAAACAAGGAGAGTTTTTACAATTGCTCATTCGAACACGTTCCACCATCAATTAGACAAAAAGGTGCGAAACAATTGGCTTCCGAATCTTCACTTTAAGGTTGCTCCTATGTCGACTTTTTTAAATCAGTTTATATGTTCCCACTCATTTACAAATTTATCAACGAAATGTTTGTGTGACACCCTCATCATTCATATTAGGAAAAACATGCATTTATTCCAACTTAGACAATTCGCCACAAATTTCCTAAGGAATAAAAAAACAATTCTAGTGTCACATTTGTCCTAACCAAACAAACCAAACAGGCGTGTCGGCAATCGAGCGATAAAGCGACATCAAGAACCCCCTTACAAGACCTCAATTATTTCAAACACGAAATGGCGGCTTTTTTATCTTGTCCTTCTGCGTGCAGTTCCATTTTTTTCCTTTCAATAATTTCGAGTAATAAAGAATTCAGTTCTTTCTCCCAATAACACCTGTCCAAGCAATAAAGATCTTAGTTTAAAATCATTGAAAAGGGGAAGCCGAAAAAAAGGATGAAAGTTAAGGTTCATTTTGTTACAAATCCCATCATTGTCATGTAGAAGGTTAACTCCTTTCAAAAGATAAGAACCTGAGTTTATGATCTCCTGCACATTTTCAGTAAAAATCAGTTACTTCATATGCAGTGTAAATTTTTCATTCATAATGTAACATACCAACCTGACCAAATTTTTACTGACTCGTGTTTGTTTCCACGGGTTCATACTAAAACATATGCTTATTGCAAAAATGAAAGGCGACACATGAAGAATATCTTTCTTACCAACATCGTGTTACTATGATAACAATTTCCGGAATTCTTTTTCGTTCCGGTCAACGAATTCCCATTTAAATGCCTTTAAACTGATGTTATAATTTCATACCTGTTTGATGTCAATTTTGAAGTATTGGTAAGGTGCTGGTCGGTGGAATTTATTTCAAGAACGTCCAGCGCTAAAGGAAGGCACCGGAGACTCTGTCCTTTATCTTCTTCTTTAATCCCTGTTCTCTGCCACAGGTCAATTTAATATATATATTCAATCTCTTTTCTTTAATCACTATGTGGCAAACTCTGAATCTCATCACTTCTACCAAACTCTAACTCTGATTCTTGCGAAGTACGAACTTGCGAACCAACTGACCGTATCGGAATCCTGACCTGCTTTCACGAGGATTTTACGAATGAACAACAACTTACCTGACGTTTCTGATCAAACGAACAGTCTTTGACAACGAAAGCCCCTCCAAAAAAAATCTAGCAGACTTGTAGACCCCACTAAAGCATGCATGTAAAACCCTAATTTCAGACGAAACATAAATGTAGGTTTGCATTTCAAATTTATCGAGTGAAAGCTTATTTGCCGTAGGCTTAGAGTAAGGCAATGAATTATTGTATTCATCGCAGCAAGATATATTAGTTGAATGTGCAATAAAATGAATGCGACTTTACTTGTACGACTTTGTGCGTGAAAAAGCCGGCGAACTTCATCTCAGTGAACTCCATTACACTCTAATACAATTTAATCCAACCCAAATCCACTCTAATTCACCATAAGAAATTCTAGCCACCTCTCTTCGACCCTCTACAATCCAACCAAATCATTAGTTTTAATTTCAAAAACTTCAGTCAAATTTGTCAAAACAATTTATTCCAAATCAGTCTAATCCACTATAAAGGGGTAAGTTTCTAAGAAACTATGGTGCTGCGTCATTGGGAGAGTGTAACAGGGTACTTTCAAGTGAAATAGAGTTCATTTGCCTGAATTATAGTGGATTAGATGATTTCGTATTATCAGCTGAGTTAATAACACAAATTTGTCACCGTAAAGAGTTTCAAACTTAGCCCTCACTTATACGCTCTGATGAAGGGCTAACGCTCGCAACGTCAGCTTTGGAACTCTTGAGTTTATGAATGATATTAGCGAATTTGAAATGTAGCAAAAGTGGTTGTTACCTCAATTTCCCTCTTGCAAGAAAGCTTAGAAAACGAAGGATTGGTTTTTAACCTAAGTTCCTGAGGTTTTACAACATATCTTACATGATCTCTGCAAAATCCCCGATTTTTACTTCCAACTTGACTGGTAAGAGATTTCAGAATACAATGAAATAAAGGATTGTGCAAAACAACAAGGGGATCGAGGAACGAGCCGAGTTGGATGATATCTATCTTCTCTAAATAAGATATTCTCTCGATAAATTAGAACCCCGCTAATTTGAACAAAGTACGATTTCCCCCTGAGTTTGACCCCATTTTCCAGTCATTTACTATCAGCTAACTCGAACAAGACTAACTCGAACTCCCTGTTAACTCGAGCTAGTTTTACTTTCCTTTGGCCAAATTTACTTTAACAACCCCAACTTTAGGGAAAATCTTCGATCGATAAACATCAAAGTGTCACAACATGGCTCCAATCTTTAGTTGGGTTGAATAAGAACGTAATAACATTCATGTAAAACCTAATGGAGGACATATAATAACTTATTTAGCCAGATTTCCCAGACTAGACGTTGTTGTCAATAAGCCACAATAAAAAAAAAATTACCAAATGAACGAAAATTACTGTTTTTTGTGCAAGACATAAAGTAGGGAAAGTTTAGTTTGAAGAAGATGAATTATTTCAAAAGCCATTTTAATCTTTTATTCAACTAAACAAGAGCATGAACTCACACTGATAATTTAGTATCTGAGTAACGGGATTTTGTTATTCATTATCTGTCTTTGTAGCCTAAAACTTGTCCAATTCTCGACCTAAGCTACGTAAGAGAAAATTTGGAAACTGAGTAAAATTATCGCCTTTTTTTCAAATTCATTCAGGTATAATTTTTCGCTTTACTGACTGAATGTTTCTTAAAACACTTTTGGCTCAAAAAATCCTTTCAATTTTGAGAATATTCACAGCCCATTTGGACATTCTGAACCAACTTCAGAGCCTAGCACAAGGTCCACCTCATTTCCTGACTCATCTGGTAGTAACAGGTACCTGTTCATCTTAAAACCTGGTGAATGACCTTGTAAAATTATTGACGAGAATTTATGAAAATCCGTTACGCTGATATCTTCTAAATTTCTCGCGACAATAGAGGCTTCCTCTGATCTCTTCTAACGTAGTTTAAGCTGCACTGTTGAGATTTAGTTTTTACTTGGATCAACAAATTCAAATTGATTTGCTTTTTACGATACTTTTAGAAAACCTCTCTGAAAGAAAAAGGAATTTTCCCTAAAAGTGAAATATGGATTTTTCAACATTCCTTTTCCTTGGTACGACCATTCCTCAGAGTATTCCTTTGTACTAATATCGAAAAGCATGAAAATCGAAGTAACAAAAATAGTTAGCCTCTGCTAGCCTTTTTGCCCAACTAGGGCATTCGAGGAATAGATATCATTAATTCATGAAAATACATTAGATTGCTTTAGAAAAATTTGGGCCATTAAGGTGTAACACGTTAGTCTAACCCTACCTGAATTTCCTCGTTCCTTAGTCCAAATTTAATAAACGCGCGTTTCTTAAACTTCGAAATAGTATAACAACTCTTTTAATCCATAGCCTGTTGTCAGAACAATACGTTGCATATTTTCCTAATTTAAATAAGTGATTGCCTAATTGAGTTCCTCAAGCAGGTGGAATAATTTGATACATCTTTCAAAAACCAATGTCAACGTCATGCTTAAGAATCAATATATTTAACAACAGAATTACCGAACGTCCGACGCAAACGTTTACAACATATTGAACCCTCGCTTCGAGCTCCAACACGACTCCTCAGCTTTTTGTTATTGCTGTGATCGCCACTTATCACCTCTTAGTAAGTAACCATGGGATGCATAACTCTGCCAATTATGAAATCTGTTTATTTTCATTGATCGGATAGTTTGTTTTGCTCTGGAACTACCTCACTTCCTCTTTCCCTCTTTTAGTGGAAAACTCTGCAACATTTCAATTAAGTTACAATACGAAGAAAGTACGTTTTTTTAGTCGTATTTTACAAACTTTCCTACGTGTGCTAGATCTTAAGAAATAACTCCTCCACCCTTAAAATCTCTCGGCAAATTGTGCACTTTCTTGATTAAATCTATAATAGCACCTCGTTTCACACCTGTATTAAAAACAAAGGACAAAGTGAGAGCTTCTACGATATCAGCCATACTACGATTTGAATTAACTTAAGATTTGAACGGCATTCCAAAACGAGGAGAGTTTTACTATTGCTCACTCAAATATATTATTTTGGTAAGGTGCAACAAAATGAGCTTCCGAATCTCCACTTCAAGGTTGTTCCTATGTTGACTTTGTTTAATCAGTTAAAATGTTTCCACTCATTTACAAATTTATAAATTAAATGATTAAATGACACCTCAACATTCCTACTAGGGAAAACATGAATTATCTCAACTCAGACAATTCGCCACAAATTTCCTAAGGGATAGATAATTCTAGCGTCATATTTGTCCCCAACCAAACAGACCGGACAAGGGCTTTGGCAAACGATCGACAAAGCAACCACAAAACCCCCTTAGGGCCTATTTACACGGTACGACTTTGTCGCATGCGACAAGCTTACGACAGGCTTACGACACGAATTGTTTCGTGTAAATCAAACCTACAACTCGCTTACGACTCTTAAGTCATGTCGTAGGCCTGTCGTAAGCTTGTCGCATGCGACAAAGTCGTGCCGTGTAAATAGGCCTTTAGAAGACCTTTATTCTTAAAAACACGAGAAAACGGCTGTCTTATCTTATACTTCCACGAGCAGTTCCAATTTTTCCTTTCAATAATTTCGAGTATTAAAGAATTCAGTTCTTTCTCTCAATGCCACGTGTTCAAGCAATAAAAATCCTTAGTTCAAAATCATTGAAAAGGGGAAGGAAAAAATGATGAAAGTTAACGTTTATTTTGCTACAAATCCCACCATTGCCATGTAAAAGGTTAACTTCTTTCAAGACACAATAGCCTGAGTTTATGATCTCCTGTATATTTTCAGTCAAAATCAGTTACTTAATATGCTGCGTAAATTTGTCATTTACTATGTAACATGCTAACTGGTCAACGAGTTCCCATTTGAATGCCCTTAAACTGATGTTAGACCTTGATACCTGTTTTATGCCAATTTCAAAGTATTGATAAGGCGCAGATAGGTGGAACCTAGCGATAGGATGTTGCACGCTAAGGGGAAGGCACCGGGGACTTTGTCCCTAAAGTTCTTCTTTGATCCTTGTTCTCTGCCACAGGTCTGTTTAATATAGCTACAATCCCTTTTCTTTAATCACTATGTGGCAGACTCTGAATCTCATCATTTCTACCTCACTCTAACTCTGATTCTTAGTAGGTACTAACTTGAAAACCAACTGACCGTATCACAATCCTGACCTACTTTCACTAGAATTTTACGAATGAACAATAACATAACTGACGTTTCTGATCAAACAAACAATCTTTGGCTGCAAAAGCCGAAAAAAAGAAGAACTATAATAGTGTAGGTCTCGGGCAAGAACAAAAGACCAACTAAGCCCTTCCACTAGCCTAGTTAGTTAACATAAGGGATCTCATCGTAATAGCTAAAACCCAATTCAATATAACTTCAGACTTCGAATTCAATCTTACCTAGAAATAAATGAATCACTGAATCATACTTCCCTAGACTCTAAGACAGTAATGAAGTAAACTACTATCTAAGCTCTTTACTGAACAGTTCTTAATTCATTTTAGTTCATTTAGATCCTGCATAAGACGACCGGACCAAGAAAAATGAAAACAACCGTTTGGTGTTTAGTAGTTGCTATCTCAGTGTCAGCAGTTACCGTGGCCTCGAAAAGTAACTCCACCGGTAGATACAAACAATCTATATGTCTCTTAATTGATTACATGCGTGAGTCTACGGTATCTATTCGTTGCGCCAGGTCTGTCGTGGGAGTTATATCAGTATTCGTTTCCCGTGTCCTCCATCTAATTTAGTCTTTCATGTAGTTGTTTCTGCGAAGAAAAAGAGACGTCTAGACTTGTTTTTTCGTCGCATAAATTGACTTTTTGTGGCCTGATTTTTTAAAGATTCGTCTTTCAAGAAGTGTGTTCTGGTCGTGGTTACGCACTGTCCCTTGACTTAAGTCACGGTCGTGGGAGTTGATTATGCGTTGCGTTTTAAATGAAAAAAAATAATTGTCGAACTTGTTGTCCTAATTTACACTTTATGTCTGGTCATTGAAAAATTCATCTAGTATGACCAAGTGGTCTTTAAAAGGAAGTTTGCAATCTTCTTTGACTTCAATCAGTTCTCCAAGGAAATTAAACCTACACCAACTAACAGAAGACAAGCTATCAGCGCTCTGATATGACTTTTTCACAGCATTACCAGATTTAAGAGGCCGATCAAAACGAGCTACCTTAACCAGTAATTCTAAAACCAATCAATAGCAGCGAACCAAAGCTACAGTAAAATCCCGCATATAAGAACCTAACCTCCGTACGTTCTTAAATAAATGGTTTTTACACTGAAATTAGACTACTTAGCTTCTAAGTCAGGCTCTTAATATTTGTTTAAAAAAGGGAAACCTCTCTTCGTGGTGTGAGTGTGACACTGCGCTGTATTCCAGCCTCATATTACCCTGCTTTACAAGGTTAACTTGTACACACAGTCGGATATGTTGCACAGCTATGGATGTATTGACAGTACAGTATTGTGGTCTTATAACACTGCCGGTGTTCAGGCTATTTTTTGTTTCCCTTTGTGTATCGCATATGATGTACTGTAAAATATTTGAAAAAACTCCATATTCTAAAAATAAGAACCTGTATTGAGATTTTAGCCTGAAATGGTTCTTCTGTGAAGGGTGGTTAGTTAAAACATTTTGGCCAAACAATTTCTTAAATTTTAGGTTGTTATACATGGGTTTTTCACTGTAGTTAAGTCTTCCCACAAAAAGCATCTGGATAAAATTAACCAATTAGTTTCACAATACCAGAATAAGACCCAACTGACAGACAAGGTACCCCTCGTCTCTGATGTAATACCACTCAGTTGTCATAACTTTAGATCACTACATAATCGGTTAAATTAATTCTAATTAAGTTGTTGAATTAATCTGATGAAACTACCCTATCCTTGCTTTGCAATTTTCCTTCAGAGGAATCGCCAAATGAAGGGAAAAGATCCTCCTGGGGCGGACTTCCTGAGCCTTCTTTTTTCGTTGGAAGCAAACCTCCAGTTGGCCTTCCAGGCATTGATCAAGGGACAGAAATCCACCAAGGAACGCCACCTTATTTTTTTTCTCTCTTTGATACAAGCACGAACACTCCTTTTTATTCAGCCTACAAAGTTTTACCCGGGCAGGCAGAGAGCCTTGGCAAGTATAAGAGACCCAAAAATACACATTGGAGGATTCCTTTAGGTACGTAAATGGTTATTTGACAATTATTTATTACACGACCGATTGGAGGACAATCAATACATGAAGCAAATACAGAGGCTTGGGGTGTACCTTGCGTTACTTCAAAACTCACAACGTCACCGAAGAAGTGGGGAAAGCTATCATATTGCTTCTTCCTAATTTTTTTCCGCAAAACAACGCTTGTTTTGCAAGGAATCTTTATGTTTTCAAGAGAAATGAAAGTGCAGTCAGAAGGCTTCATACTCTCTTAATTTCAGAAAAAGCGACATGATTCCCTGGAATATTCAAAGATCACTTTCAGTCTGTAAATAATAATTTGATCATCGTGGGAAAGACGAAATATCACCACTATCATCATCGTATTCAGAAGAACATGATTTGATAATTTAAATGTGAGAAGTTATCCGTATTCATCGAAGAATGTGTGACTCATTGTTATAGGTGTTTCTGGTCTCAACAAAGCTTATAAACAAGCCAACGTAGAAGCCCGAAGCAAGTATAAGAATCAACTTACCAGAGGCCATATGAATCCTTCCGCTATCAACTCCTTTAACACAAATTTCATGAAGGCTACTTTCACTCTTACGAATGCTGTACCTCAGTTTGAGGCATCAAACAGCGGACCTTGGCAAGAGTTTGAGAGAAAGATAAGAAATTATGCCAAAACTACCTGTGGGAGTCAAACCCGCCAAGGAACCCTTTACCTACTGACAGGTAGATCCGAAAATGGCCTCAAGAACGTAACGAAGCCGTCCATTACCAATACATTTAAAGTGGCAACTAAAACATTACGCCTTGATACTCCTCGAGCTGTTTGGACGGCGGGATGTTGTGTGTGGATGACCGGAGAGCCAAAAGCAGAGTCCTTTGCAGTGATGAGCAACAATCATTATAACAAAACCAAGTTACACCAGACACAAATGAATGTAACTGCCCTGGAGAAATACTTGAGGGCAGCAACGAAGGTAAATTTGTTTCCAGGAAATCCAGATTGTGCTCAAAACTACCATCCCCTACCATGATAAATCGTCCAGAAATAATTAAAAAAGAGAACAGGCTTTAACATTCTAAAGAAACTCTTCTAGAAACCATCAAAAAAACAAAACCAAAAAAAACATTCCTTTCATTATAGAACCCAGTAAAATATGCATGTAAAACCCTGATTTAAGACGGAAAATAAATGGAGGTTAGCATTTCAAACTGATCAAGGGAAAGGTTATGTGCCATAGGCCTTGAGTTAGGCAATGAATAATTGTATTTCTTGCAGCAAGATATCTTTGTTGATTGTGCAATAAAATGACCTTTACTTGCACGACTATGTGCGTGGAAAATTTAATCCGACCCAAATCCACTCTAGTTAGCCATAAGAAATTCTAGCTGGCCCTTTCCGACCCTCCACGATCCAACCCAATCTACTAGTTTTAATTTCAAAGTACTACAGTCAAATTCGTCAAAACAATTTATTCCAGATCAGTGTAATCCACTATAAAGGGGTATGTTTATGAGAAACTGTGGTGTTGCGCCGGTGGGAGAATATAACGGGGTAATTTCAAGTGAAATAGAGTCCACTTGCTTGGATTATAGTGGATTAGGTAATTTAGTATTATAACTGAATTGATAAAGTAAATTGACCACCGTAACGAGTTTCAAAGCTTAGCCCTTCGTCATTCTCTCCGAGAAGGGCTAACAGTCAAAACATCAGCTTTGAAACTTTTTACGGCGGCCAATTTATGTTATCAACTGAGTTGATAATACAAAAAAATTACCTTATCCACTATAATCCAAGCAAATGAACGGTGGTTCACTTGTGTCCACCTCAACGCCTTCTAAATCGTTTTCATTCCTGGCTAACTCACCTTAATTCACTTCAAAGTACACCACCTTGCCTCAACTGCATTTAGTTAATATGTAAAAACTATTCATGAGTTTATGAATGCTAGTATTTCCTCTCACGTAACAACTAGTCATTCATTTACTTAATCACTAACTCATTACATTCACTTGAATTGTTCACTTGCTCTTTCATCATTGCTCCATTCATTTACCTTTCGCCAACTGTCTTTCTCCATTACTGAATGGCCAATTTTAGAATCCTTTATAGGTTATACACAGGTTGATAGCACTAGGATATTATTCAACAGCACATGACAACTATTCATTATGTTCAGTTACGATTAAGATTTGCCGTCTAGTATGATAAAACACAAACAATTTCATATTTAAACAGATCGTAATTTTCATTCTATTATATTAACAAAGGAATGACCGACATGTTATTCCCCAAAATATCAGTTATAAGTACACAGTATACTAAAACAGTGGATGGCGTTAAAGGCGCGCTGCGAATATTCTTTGCTCTTCATCTCCGAGCAACTCGCAAGTTTTGCGCTCCCTCGCGTTGCAGGAATAAATCAGTTAAAATTATCTTTTTGTGCTACATTATGTCACTGTTTTCGCATATACTTAAACTATCCGCTTCAGTGTCGGCAGTCAGCGGTGGATAATTACCTTGCTTCGCGGCTCGGTAAATATCCACCACTAGCCACCTTCACTTCGGTGGAGAGTTGTTGATGAATTCATGGATTTGGCCAAGCCTAAAAGCGGAGCTCCAGTTAGTTTGTTTTCTGGTTCTTCACTTTATCAGGATTTCTTACTGGTTGTTGAAAAGTTTATTCAAGGAAATTTGGGTACCATTTATTAATTATGTAGAGGGGAGACGTAGAGTCAGTGACTTTTTGAAGAGCGTTAGGTAAGAGCGAGGGCTATTTTCCTTTCTTCATTTAAAAAATAAGGGGGTTATCAACTTGTTACATGCACAGTGGACAATAAGAGTGATTCTGTCGGTGATAATGACTTGATTATTTGTGCAAATAACCAGAGGAAGATTAAAAGCAAGAAATGAAATTTTCGGGCAACTCTTATTTTAGTTTCATAATCTGGCTATCAAGCTAAGGCGCTCCTATTTTTGCCTTATGCATTATGCGGATGCTTATTAATTTAAACTTAATGCATCAAAATACGAAAAAGGAATAAAAAAAAAATACAGTTATGTGCCCCAAAAGATTAAAGAGGAGGGGGCAGGTTAAAGAAAAAAACTTAAACTAAAAGAGGAGGGCACCCAATAATTTCAGGCCTGAATGAAGGACGACCCTTGCTTTTCCAGGCCGCCACCTTTAAAAACTTACATATCATGTCAAAAATCGATTATCTCAAAATTCCCTTTGTGGAATGGGTATCAGCATTTTTAAGAACACCATAATTTAAAACTTGAGCCTGAGTATTTTAAAATGCTATTCAAATAAATTTTCATATTGAAATGTGGTACATGTAACTAAAGTAAAATTATACTTACACAATTCTAAACAAAGGATGTCAGGCTACAGACTCGCCTGCAACAACCTTTTAGGGATTAAAGAGCAACAAAAAACAAAGAAATAAATATGAAAAACAGTAACAAAACAAAGTTGAAAGTTTGAATTCTGAAAGAGAATCTACATTACAATCATCAACCATTATGTATCCTCGGAAAAAGATACGTTCAATTATTATCATAACTTTGCCCATGCATTCATGCTTGCAAGGAATCATTGATTTTCGTCATTTAAAGTGCTACTGTACCTACGGTGGTTCTGCAAAACAGATATACATTTTTTTCAGTTACCATTATCCCAATGCATATACAGACTGTACAATCAAGTTACGTGGAAAGTTCACTCCTGTATAATTACAGATTGACATTTCAATTATCTCAGCAAATTGTAATCATCCGCTAAAAGGTAAGATGCATTTACCAAGTGCTTAAGTTTCCTAAATCAACTTTGCCATAGTCAAGTTCCCTCCTTTTTTTTCGAGCTATCTTCCGCTGTATCATCCTGTTGCACATGAAAAAATCAAATCACGGTTACTCATGTGTTAATCAAATAAATCAAAAGTTATAATTTTTTTCTTATTCCCTGCTTCCTTTGGGCTCCAGAAACGCTAAATGATGCTGAAGAGAAAGTACGACACTTATTGAAACATGTTCTACTTAAAAAAAAATCATTATTAATATTGCTACGAAAAAATATGTAAAGCTATATAGTTACAGTTTCCTTTCCATGTAGACAAACCATAATGAAACATAAGCAATGACTAAATCTAACCCAGTTTGAATGTAAAAACCAACATCTAATCGAACTGCAATTTAAGTGCCACTCTTGCTAAGAGCGGTCCTCTCGACTTCCCGTCGGAAAAAAAGTTTTCTTTTGTTTTTTGCCCATGAAAAGGGTTTAGGACACATGTTTCAAAAATAGTTTAGTTGTTCTCCAATTCTCTTTTTTTGCGTCGCCACAAGCCAAAAATGATTTTTGGCTAGACCACCCCTGTGAACAGCGATCGAAAGTGTAAATTTCAAAGATTTTGTCCAGCGCGCAGCGACTGCAACAACGTAGCTCACGAAATTTCATCTTGCCACAAGTTACAAGATTTATTCAGTTAGTTCACAGACAAAATATGGAAACTTCAGCTGAAATATTTCTCATACCAGCGTGATCAGAGGAGACCCTTCTCTTCGACCTTAATTTGCATATTAAAAATTCACTACTTTGTACGAAAGAATTCTCAAAATGCAGGCGTAAATCAGGCTGAAAAAGCATATCAGTGCATAGTTTATACACTAATGAGGTCACGGATTGCCTCAAACCCGCGGGTATATCTCTAGCTCTTATCCACCAAATTCCTAAAACAACACAAATCCATGTGTTTTCTCAATTGCGCTCGTGTCAAAGATCATTTGCATGATTCTGAGAATTGACCAAGATCTCCTTTTGACCGTTGAAACTTCGTTCGTTTATCTTCTACGTTGAGGATTTTAGGTTTTCATAGCAACTGAATAGAGATTAGATGCTGAGTTGGCTTAAAACGTTGCGTAATCGTGATCGGTCGTAACGCTTGCGCGCTTGCGTGACGTGCAAAGTAGACGAAGGTGATCGGAAGGCGCCTTCTCGACAATTTACGTTGAAATATCAGGTCATGAACTAAGTTATCCGACTAACTAACCATGTAAAGCAGGGCAATATATGGTTGGCATACAGCCACGAATAGAGGATTGATGTCACCGTTGTCAATCGCTTACCTTATTCTTGCTTTGCAATATTGTAACCGATCACGTGTGATTTTCCTTCAGAGGAATCTCCAAATGGGAGGCTTGGTTCGACTGTATAGACACAGTGAAATAATGTTGACTAAAATTCAAACCTTACTGTACGGGAGTCAGCTCCAGAAAGGCTGAAAATCAGCTTGCATCTGGAGCTAATACAAACGTACACATACTCAGAAAGCGACGGTGTTACAAACCGCGGCATTATCAGCCGAGTTGATAACGTAAATTGGCCACAGTAAAGAGTTTCAAACTTATAATTAGCCATTTATCAATGATATTATTAGCGAATTTGAAATGTAGCAAAAGTGGCTGTTACCCCAATTTCCCTCTTCCACGAAAGCTTACTGAAACACATCTTACAGGATTTCGGCAAAATCCCCAATTTTTACCTCCAACTTGACTGGTAAGAGATTTCAGAATACACTGAAAGAAAGCATTGTGCAAAACAACAGGGGGATCGACGAAGGAGCCGAGTGGGATGTTATCTATGTACTCTAAAGAGTGGATAAATTAGAACTCCGCTAATTTGAACAAAATACGACTTCCCCCTGGGTTTGACCCCATTTTCCTGTTATTTTCTATCAGCTAACTCGAACGTGACTAACTCAAATTCTCTGTTAACTCAAACTAGTTTTACTTTCCATTGGCTAAATTTACTTGAATAACTCCCACTTTAGGGAAAATTGTCGGTCGATAAACTTGAAAGTGTCACAACATAGCTCCAATCTTTAGTCGCGTTGAATACGAATGCGATAACATTCATGAAAACCTAATAGCGTATATACAATAACGTATCTAGCCAAATTTCCCAGACTAGACGTTCTTATCAAAAAGCCACTATAAAACAATTGCCAAATGAACGAAAATGACTGTTGATTGTGC